CTTTTGCACAGAATAAATTATACAGCCACTATCAGCACAATTGCTTCAGTCATTAGTTTACTATCTTTTTTTAAGCAGTGTTTTCAGCTGAAAGGCACAGAATAAAGATTCAAGACATCTGGGCCATGAAGCTAGTGCTGTCATGTGTCATGGGAGTCACAGCCTGGTGCCAAATATCACCATTGCTCTGCAGCTGCTGGTGCTCATGATCACAAATGGCACTAAGTGGTACAATGCCCTGCTGTGTCAGCAGAGATGAAGAGTCAACAGAATTAATTCTTCTCGTTAGATTATAGTGGCTTATTCCTCTTCTAGAGACTTGTACTTTTATGCCTGTTAAGAAATAGTCCAGAAGACCTCAGGAAGTAGACATACCCACAGATAATAACAGAAAAGATTCATCTAACTTCTTGAGAATACATGATTTTTCTGGACTTAGTGTTCAAACCTTCTCCTAAAAGGAGATCCAATTAGAAAGCCTTACTCACAATCCCCAGAAGATCTGCATTTCCCTGGAAGAGCAATAGCCCTCAGACCAAGCACAGAAAATTAAAGCTGTAATCTTTTAAACCCTGACAAGCTTAAGAGAAGTCCAAGATCTCTCTCACTTTTTCTCATGTGAGCTGTACTAACTCCAGCAGATTTTGGTTTATCTGTTATTGTGAGATTGAAAAGCAAAGACCAGTTTATAGAGCAGTGAGAACTGCAAAAAGCTAAACATTCAATTCACAATTTTGATCTAAAGCAACAAACACACTTCACAACAACAAACAATCACTGAGACAAAAGGAAATGATAGTTAAAAAGGCAACAGGTGCACACACAAAAAGAAGAACATAATACAGCAGAATAATACAATTTGCAGGAGAAAAATGCATCTATTGAAAGTTACGTTGCTGCATAGGCTTGGCCTGTTTGCAGCAGGATACAGCTGATACAGATAAGCAATCATGAATTTTCTGGATTCAACAGGATCTCTATCTCAATTTTGCCATCAAAGGTTTAGAAGAATCCCCAGAACCTTGTGCCATAATCAGGAAAGGAGAGTAACAGTGTAAAACTGAAGCATTCACCATGATACTAAAGACTTAAACAGTTTGGTTGGTGTTCAGGGATAGGAAAGGGGTGATCCTTCTGGATTTCCAGGAAGCCAGAAAAACCATCAACTCTGACTGATGCACTGTAATGCCGACTAAGCCGCAGGCTTGAACTTCCAGAGTCAGTCCAGAGAGGAAGACAACCTTTTTCTCACAACACAGTAATGCTGGGCCCCATACCAGTTTGAAAACTGTAGAGCACATTACCTATCTTGGCTGGACTGTCCTACCACACTCATCGTACCATCTGGATCTTCCAACTGTGTGTGTCAATGAAAAATGGACTGCATGGGCAACATCTTCCTAGCAATGATGTCAACATAGCAGCATGGGTCACCTCAGATGGTGCAGACTTGCACAAGCACAGCATACACACACTTGTTCACTGTTGGGAAAAATGCGTAGCCAATAGTGGTGACTATGTTGAAAGATAGTGTTTTGTAGCTGAAAATTTGCTCTATCAAACAGTGTTATTGCACTCCTTGTATTTGTTGTAGCGTCTATGGAAATAAGTAGGAGGTATTATTTTTGGAGCATTGACAAATAAGGAAAATAGGCACACAATCTTGCCAGCTTCTTAATGAAAACATCAAATTTAAATCTTTCACAGTCTCTTAGCAATGGTTAACTACTGCTGAACTGAGTCCAGGCTGATCTCAGGTGGAAGCACTCCTGTAGAGACTTGACAGATCCAGAGTGTGGGAACTAGGCTAAACAGCTGACTCTGCAAGATGCACTAAATATAGAGTATGAGTGGAACTGTTCAGGGCACATGAAAACTGTTGTGAAGATTCTCCATGGGAACAAAAACTTCCTTTCTCGAAAAGATGGAGGAGTGTTTTCTGGCCTTCAGAATACATGGCTTCCTCAGCAACAAGAAAACATGTCAAAGCAACATAAGAAACTATTAATGGAATCTCAGAGGACAATTATGCTTTCGTTTGATCTTTCACCAAAAATACTTTGAAAGGGTGGAGAGTATGGTATATTTGTAAAGCTTCTGTAGATTAAACAGCTTTCAATAACAATCCTGTATAGAACTGCAAAAAATTTGTTTAAGATTTAACACATGGTAACATCAAAACAAACAAATGTTACCATGGAGACAACTACCTAAATAAATGCTCATAATGGATCCAAGCCCTGATGTCACCCAGGCCTGCCTGCAACCATAGCAACATGTCAGTATAAACAGAAATATTTTGATTTTTCTGTCTAATAATACCATAGAATTAACAGTTTTATGGCAGTGCTTAAAGCGTTCTCTTGTAGTACTGAGTGATAACACTGCTAAAATAACAGCAGAGGCATTTATATCGTGGCTATTACCATATTAACTACATACAACAAATGAAGTATGTGTATGGCATAGCTAACATACCACATTCCTGAGTGCAGTTGTTGACCTCAACAAAGAAATTTAAGTTCCTAGAACAACATGCCAGACTGCTGGTCAGAGATCAGTAACACCTATAATTAGATATTCTGCTTTCCTTAATACAAAAAACCCTCAAGTTCTTAGACTGTTGTGTTGTGTCTCTCAGTCTTGCAGGATTAACAAGAATGCAGACGCATTTTTCATACTAAATGCAGAACATTTATGTGCCCTTTTCATGTGTCACCAATGAGATTGCTTTCTCTAAGGCAGTAAGATTCACTCAACCCATCTTGCAAGCACTCTAAAAGAAGCATGACCAATAACCTTTTGCAACTCTGGAAGAGTTGCATAAAAGAAACAAGTCAGTTAATATACAAAAATTCCAAAAAAGCAGGCAATCATTTCAGCTACTAAAAGGATAACCATGGAATTCCCATTCCCATGAAAACACTTTTAAATACTACTGCATACCTGCAAGTTGCACACCACTAAGCTCAGTATACCCAGAATGCATTACCACTCTTAACATGTCAAATACAAAGGACAGATGTCAATAAACAATAGTAAGTATTGGAAGTGGAAAAAAATTATTGGAGTAAGCTAAAACTAAGATATATATACTCCTCCACATTTTACCAGGAAGCCTGAGCTGAAGTTATAAAAAAGTAAAATATTATTTCTGGTCCTGTCATTAAAATTTCAAACCCAGTAATTTGTAAAATGTTTTCTTCTCATAGAATACAACTGCAACTTCACTTCTTTTCAAGTACAACAGTTCAGCTAACATATTAAAAATAAATACATAAAGCATCCGTAGGAGAACAATAAATCAGTCCTGAAAAAGTTAGCAAGATGACAATCAGGGACCTTATACATAGAGATAGTACTTACTTTCTAGCACTCTGACAAAGCTTGCCATTGTCATTCACTACAAGCATTGCTGGCTAGAAAACAAACTCTGCTCAACGCACTCATTTCCTAGTCAAAGACCTGACAGAAAATTTGTTTGGCCAGATGCAACTGTAATGCTATACAACAAAACATTTCTTCTAGTATATGGACTGTGTTCCCTGGCCAACTTCCAATAGCCACCAACATCATCCATCTCTATGGATGGCTATCAGAATCATGGGTCAAAGTCTGTCTTGTGAGATAAGAGCGAAGGTGGTGAACATAAAAGCAGCAGTGAAGTACAGAGCCTTCAGACACCCAACTTAACTCTTTCATTTGGTATGGGAGAAGTACACCGCTGTTTCTGAGGTGCTGGAAACTCTTTTACAGTGTTTAATGTTTTCCATTCAACAAGGATGCAAAAAAACAAACAAATAAATAAAACAACACTTGAATTGTCAAACAAAAACAACACAAAAAGCACCCCTTGCTCTGTTTGGAAATATTTCATTGTAAGATAAGCAAGGAGCTTATATACTGAATAAGCCTTTCTTGATGCACTCCAAATTTATCATTAACCTTTAGCTTAGGGTTAAATCTGAAACAAAAGAGAAAGAAAGGAAAAGTAGTTTTAAAATACGTGATATATATGCAAGTAAGGAAAGAGTAAGTATCTAATAAACAATTAAGGTAACTGCAACAAATGCAAAAGTATTCCAACTGCTAAATAAAGGAGGGAGAGGGGAAAGATAGCATATCTCTTCTGAAATGTCCACTCAACAGCGTCTGAGAAAATGCTGAACAGGCACACACTCCACAGAAGCAGACAAGAAACCCTGAGCTAAGCAGAGACTGCTGATCAATAGCAGTGCGATGCACTGATGTCCTTCTTCAGTCCTAAGTCCCTGTCACTTCACAATTGACTCCTGCACAATAGAACTGGATTCATTTTTACCCTAGCAGGTATCACAACAGATGCTTCTTTAAATCAGCTAATTATCAGAGAGTTGCCCTATCATTAACTTGGCCAGACACCCATATGAGGAAGGAGTATCAATATTTTATTATTTCCTGTAATGAAAGGGAATTAAAGTTGACAAAAGCTAAAGAAATTCTAAAAATAAATGCCAGCATCATAAAGTCAAGAAAAAAAATAACCAGTTTGGTGTGACCAGCACCCTACACTTTAACTACAAGCAGCTGTTTTGCTGGACATCAAGACTATGCATGGAAAAAGGCCTTAATATATAACCCACCTTAGCCTCAGTTCTTTGAGGCTGAATTTTGTCAAGATTTAAGACTACATCCTGACTTCATTCAGATATCATTCAGGAAACATTCAGAGCATTTACTGTAGCTTAAAAAAAAAAAAAAAGTTTGTTAGGACACAATCAAGACAGATACAAGTTATTCCATCTCTCTGCACCGCATTCCTCTTCAACACCTGCTCTGCTGAAGTCAGTTTAATGTAGCAGGCGGAACCTGAAAGCAACAGCTTCACTGAGGAACATTTAAAGAGACTGTGGCAAAGGCATAGTGACTCACAAGGTCCTTGAGGAATCAAAGATAAATGTAGATGGTTATCCACAAAGCATACAGGAGAGACAAAGAAACAGTGGCAGAAAGGAACTTACTTGATTTTACTGAAGACAATGTCAACATCTGTGATTGTCACATTCTTCCCATCTATCACCTGACAGTCCTTACACAGCTTAGACCAGTTCTTCCCATGCATTTCTTTTCCTGTGGCTCTTGTATCACCATGGATAGCAAATTTTCTAAAGGCCTCTTCCAGAGCACTTATTTCTCCTGCCACAGCTCCCTCATGGGAGCTATTTGAATCACAGGATAATCGTTTTGCAGCCCGGTCCTTAGTTGGATCTGAAGGAGACCTTGGAGGAGTCTTATTTGCAGGTTTGGTCGGCTTTGCTTTATTGTCAGCCATTGTGCTACAAGGAAGAGGAAGATAAACTTTGTTACCTTAATTTGCAATAGAGTTTACTTTCTGTTAAACTACAGTCTGACATGTCATAATGTAAGAGTAAGTAACCCATGAAGATCGTAAGAACTCAGTGCCCTTCACCAAACAACTGCAGCAGGAAAATGACATTCCAAAACAGGGCACAAACCTAGTTTCACCATCTTTACAGCAGAAAACAGGAGAACACTTACTTTTTGCTTCTTTTTTTAATGACAAGTTGAATTTTAATGACAACATGAATTCATCACAGTTGTTCTACTGACTTGAGTAAGAGTGTCTTCTACATTATAGGCATTACTATCCTTTTTTTTTTTTTTTAATAGAAAATAAACAGTCCTTTATACTCTAGTCTTTGGATTCCCCTCCTCCCCCCCCCTCCCCCCCTTTTTTTTTTTTTATAATTGAAAATGCACCAAAAATATTCATGCTTTAAAGAAATGACAACTCAGAAAGCCTCAGAAATACTTGGAAAAAAGTCTCCAGTTATTTCTCAAGTTCTTGCCCAGAGAACTATAGCTATAAAATTCCTTTAGAATTAACATGCCCAGAATGTGGGAGCACTGAGAAGGGATGAGCCTTCTGTCCTTGCCTGGGAAAAGCCCAGAGAAGCCTATGGACAGGGTGCACCCTGTGCCTGTCCCAGTAACTACATCTGCTCACACACAGATCTGTGGTGCTGCTAGAAATTTTAATCCATAAAGAAGTGCTTCAAGTATCAGAACTCTGGCAAATACTGGCATACGGGCTAAGAAACCCACCATACTTACCCTCTCCATCCTTCTGAAATCACAGCAGTACGAGGTAAAGTGGGTGACACATGCAAAGATTGGTATGGATTTCTAGTTAACATTTAGTTGTTGCATCAGTTGGGAAATTTTGGCTTATATAGTGTATTTTGATTACAAACTCATCAATAATGGAAACAATTTCAGACTTCTGCCTCTTCCAGTATTGCTTAGCCTCTGTTACTTGAACAACCAAGGCTTATTCTATTCTGCACTCTGCAGAACCAGCCATAAATGCTTATTATGCAGCAGTTATTAAGCCAACCGGGCTCCTGAAGGAGAAACCTTCACATTCATAATCTCTAGCTGTAACTTAAAATGGTCAAACCAGACAAAAATCCATGACTCTAAATCATCACACTTCAAATTAGTCTTATACCTTACATACTTACATAAAAACTAAAGTTCTGTAGTGATAACTCCAATATTCAATCCTCCTCCTTTAGATCTGATTCTATTTTTTCAGAATCTAATATTGAAATAATTTCCTTGAACAGTCTCTCTTAATTTAATTCCTAGCAAACTCTCATTACGATCCTTCCAATCTGACAGTGGTACATTCTAACTGGACCAGGGAAATTCCAGGGAATTCCATTTTAATCCTGACGCCATTAACAACAACATTAAGCCCATACTTCTGCAAGTATGATCAACTTATAAGAAAACTGTTGTGAAAATAGGAGAGACAACAGTCTGATAAGCATTCTGAATTTCTAGAGATCGGACTTTTAAAGCATGATTAGAAACAACTTTTTAATCAAAACTGTACTAGAATACCTTTGTCCTTTAAACTTGGACAAATGCAGCATGGCCAAAGCTGTACTACATGTTCTGAATACGTTCAAGTAAATTTTTAAAAATCTTGTTATATCTTAATCCTCTTGCGTTTACACTGTTTGCATAAGAATTGGAACAAATCACATGCTAAATTCAAAAATTAAGATGACAGAAATGTACTAAGTCTAACCTGAGACTTACATGTGTATCTATGAAATAATAATAAGAAATTCACTGGCCAAAAATTGAAAATTAGAAGCTCCTTAAAAAGTTAGGCATTTAACCAATTCCCATTCCCATTTCTACTTCCTTTGGGCCCTACTTGCCCTCCAAAAAACAGTAATTTTACCCTAAACTTTTCTGAAAGTCTCCCAACAGTGACACAACAATTAATTTACTTACAGTAAAACATAAGTACAACTATTACAGATATATATATTTTCATCAAAGTGTCTAGATCAGCCAGTAACGTGCCCTCACAGCCTGGAAAGCCAACCATATCCTGGGCCTCATCTAGAAAAGCATGGTCAGGAAGTCAAGGCCCCTCTACAAATTAAAAGTTCATAAACTTCATGCAGGGAAAAATGCTAAAAGAAAGTTACTGAAGGTATTAGGCCTTAAGGCAGTTTATTTCTAGAATTAGTTCCTTCAAACATCAATAACAGCACTGGTGTACTTTGAGGAGTTCTGGGCAACATGAAGAGAGGAACAACAGGACATATCCCACAGGAAAGGCTTCCATTTTAAATGAAGATGTCTGATATGCACAGCAGTCTCATTTCAAAGAAATCTTCACTAGCAAAAGTAGGAAGTCAAGGCAGGTCAAAACTGGTGATGTACTTTTTCCTTGTGGCTAGAAAAGGTTCATGGATACTCCTTTTCTTGTTGAACCAATGTTACAGGCTGCTTCATAAAATCCAGAGCGTAACAAAAGTTACCTCATTTATGAAAATACCAACTTACTCTCAACTAGAAATTATGTTTCTAACAATACAAACAAAACATTTGAAAGAGAAAACATTTATTTGCATATTACATAAGGCAAAGAACTGCAAAACACTGAATATGAAGTCAGATTTTTAATAGGGTCAGATCCTTTAATGGTATTTGGTTATTACTGAGAGGAGTAGATCGTGTCGCGCTGAAGAGATGTTCTCTCAAAGACAACTACTGAAAAGCCTGTTCATTAAAAATCCAAAGCAAAACATAGTTTTGATTCTTCCTTACCCCTTTTCCACACGCATACTCTGAAAGTGATCAGAAGGTGCTTGCTAGCTCCCACTAGAAATAAAGATTAACAGTAATTTGAGGAGAAAGCACAGCGGAGCTGTAAGTAGAACTGACAAACAAACTGGCTACTCTAAAAATACCAATTCTAAACTCTGGTTAAACAAAATTAAGTCACTTTTTTAAAAGCATCACTGCTTAAGAAGTCCAGCACACAGTTAAACAATACTACATTTCCAGAGACAACGAAGGTAGGGAAGGAGAAGGATTAGCCACCTATCCTATCCTCTCTAAATATTGCTGGCTCCAATCTAGCAGGCTGTAGAAGACATTAAGGAGAAGTTATAAGCAGATGCTAAGAGTTCAGAAGGCTTTGTGAAAAAAAAAATTCCCGAAATTGGGATTCCAGAAACACACAGAACAGCTGGAGTAATCATAGGAACATTGTGAGGGCATGTAGGGATGCAGTGAGGAAGCTTCAACGCAGTGGAATTACATCTGGCATGGGAGATCAAGGACAAGAAAGGCAAGCCTATAATTACAGGTGAGACATCACAGTTTCACTATATCTATAGCAAAAGGAAAACTATAGAAAATACGGGCACACTGGTTAATGAGGTGAGTGCTCTGGTTTTGGAGGACACTTAAGAAGGTGGATGCCTTCCTTGCTTCAGTCTTCACTGCTAAGACTGATCATCATGAGTCCCAGACCCTGAAGAGAGTCTGGAGAAAGTGAGACTTCCCTTTGGTCAAGGACTATCTAGTAACAGATCGTCTAGGCAAATCTGAGGTGCAGAAATCCATAGGCACTCATGGAATGCACCCGTGAGCGCAGACAGAGCTGGCAGAAGCAATTGCCAAGCCACTTTGAAAGGTCATGGAGAACAGGAGAAGTGCCTTAGGACTGGAGTAAAGCCCATGTCATTCCAGTCTTCGAATACAGCAAGAAAGAGGAGCTAGGAAAATACAGGAGTCCTCACACACCTCTACTCCATGGGAAGGTGATGAAACAGCTTATTCTGGATGGCGTCTCCAAGCAAATGGAAGAAAAAAAAAATATCCCAACTCCTACAATTCTGTGATTCACTGAGTGACAAGTAGTTAAGATGACAACAAAAGTCCTATGAACTAAGGAAAACTTTCAGTTTAGCCAGCCAAGAAAAACAGGATTCTGCTATGACCTTAGAAAGGTCACAGCCTTTCTAGTATCTTTAATCATGTCAAACATTCTAGTGAATACTCAAGGAAACAGCAGCCAAGTCTACTGGTTTATTGAGAACTATAAAATAAAATCGGGAGAAAAAAAAAGAGAGATGTACTAAATAGATTCTTTGCAATTCAGTTAGCAAAGTCAGCAAATCGAACTAAGTACAGAACTACCAAAAAAAATTAGAATACTTAAGGAGAGCTAAATAGCAGGAGGGAGATTGGCTTGTTACATGGGTAGATAGTGATAAGGCAAAGGTGAGATGAAAGAAGGATAACATGCCCCTGCAAAATAAGATCTAAGAAAAAGAACTGATTAAACAAACTTACCTTTCAGGCATATGGCAGGAGATGCTAGCTTAGCACAGGGATGTAAATCTATTTTGCTGGCCAGAACAATGAGAGATAGACTTTGCAGGACACAAAGAAAGTTCTAGTTGGGCAAAACAAACTCAGCATCCAGATTACAGTGTATAAATAAAGGAAATGAAGGAGGGTACCTAATGGGGAAATGAGCACACGATAGGCAAACAAAGCAGAATGTGAACCCTGACTACCTTAGACAATGGGGAAAGGACTTAATAGCATTGTAGTAGAGGGATAAAAGAGAAGCTGTGTCCCCTGATACTTTTAGAGACACCACAGAGGTAAGCCCCAGCATACTCCCCTTTATTCGAATAAAGAAAGCTGAAGACTCTTCTCTGTCTCATTTTGGTATAAAGATAATTGAGCAAGCTAACTGGAGCAGAAATTTTCCCAAAGAGTAATTTTAAACTAAAAGAGGATAAAATTATGTTAGATGCTAGTAAAAAAAAAAAAAAAATTTTTACTCATAGGGTGGCAACACTCTGGTACAGGTTGCCCAGAGAAGTTGCGAATGCCCCACCAGGCATTCAAGGCCAAGTTCAGTGGGGCCTTGGGCAAATTGATCTCATGCCTGATTTAGGGGCTGGCAGCCCTGTCCACAGCAGGA